AGAGAAGCCTAGAACACGGAACAGTGTCAACGTGGTGATAACAACTACCTCAAATTATGTACATGTGGGAAAGACTGACAGGGTTCCTGGGGAGAAAACATTTTAATTTGATGCACTGGGAAGATTGTGGGTACATTTTTATCTTCTATTCTGATTTCTGTTAACATTGATAAATGCTCATGCAAGAGTAATTTTAAATGCTTTCAGAGATAAAGAAATCACAAAGAAAAACAATCAAAGAGTTTGACTACATAAAAATTAGAAACTTCTGCCTGTCAAAAAAAGCAACTGAAACAGAAGGACGACAAATGCTGCTGAAGTCTTGGTTGTAGCAAGTGTGACAGTTAAAAGGTTAATGGCAAAGTCTTATTAATATTAAACACTCCTGCTGGGTGTGGAGGTGCACGCCTGTAATCCCAGCACTCAGGAGGCTGAGGCAGGGGGACTGCCATAAGTTCAAGGCCAGCCTGAGCTAGATAGTGAGACTCTGTCCCAAAAAACCAAAAAAAGGGCCAGGGATTTAGCTCAGTGGCACAGCACCTGCCTCGCAAGTGCAAGGTCCTGAGTTCAATCCCTGGTACCCCCCCCCCAATAAAAACCCCTCAAAACCAAAACAAAATAAAAAAACACTCCTACAAATACAACAAAGCATTAAAATTTCATGGGGCAAATAGACAAAATACATGGGTTTAGATCACACACACAAAATACAACTTTAATACATTTAAGGAAAAGATGTTTACTTTCACCAGTAATTTAAAAACCATTTACAGCATTAATAAAACAAGAGTAAAATACCACATCTATTCTACAGCTTCAAATATGTTTTAATCTTACAAACCAAAGTTATCTGCTAATCCCTCTGTAAAATGGTAGAACCCTTTGGAAAATAATATAGCAGTGTCCAACAAAAGGTTTAAAAATGTTCTTGCCTTTGATCCAGTACTCTCACACCTGGGAATCTATGATGAGGAAATAACTGAAAATACAAAGTTTAATGACTTACAAAGATATTCAGCCCAGGAAAAGGAAAACTTAACCCAGTCCAAAGAGCCAAGAACAGAGGGATGGTTACCTGAAAAATTATTATGTAAAAAAGTAGGTAATAATAGCAGAAATTAAAAATGAAAAATACCAGGGCTGGGGATTTAGCTCAGCGGTTCCAGCGCCTGCCTCGCAAGCACAAGGTCCCGAGTTTGATCTCCGGTATCAAAAAAAAAAAGAAAAATGAAAATACCTCATCATTATAACTACATGATAGAAAAGGGGAGGGAGTATAGTTAAGAGTCAGCAGTGGTACAGAGCACATCAACAGAAATTAGTCATGTTTCTATGCACTAGCAAGGAATAATACAAACAGGAAATTAAAGGAGTAAGTCCATTCACAATAGCATCAGAAAGAATTAAACACTTAGGAATGAATCTAACCACTGAAGTGAAAGACTTGAATACCGAAATCCACAAAACATGGGTGAAAGCAATTTACAAAGACCTGAGGGGTAAATGGAAAGACATCCCATGTTCATGGACTGGAAGACAATGTTCTGCTAAGATGTCAATAACCCAAAGCAACTGACAGATTCCACGCAGGCCACAAATGGAAAAAATAAATTGGGTTTCATTAAAATTAAGAACTTTTTTTAATCAAAGGGCGAGAAAATTAAAAGACAACCTACAGAATGGGAGAAAAAAATTTACAAATCATATCTCTTAATCATGAATTAAGAGATTAATGTTCATAATATATAAACCTATAGTTCAACAGCAAGATAGCCCAATTAAAACATGGACAAAGGACATAAAGAGATATTTCTCCAAGAAGACATACAAATGGTCAACATACACATGAAGAGGTGCAAACCTTTAGCAAAATGCAAATCAAAACAATAAGGTATCATTTCATACCTGTTAGGATGGCTCCTTAAGAAAAAAGGGAAATATAATAAATGTTGAGGAGGCTGTGAACAAACTGGAATCCTGGTGGGAATGTAAAATAATATACCTGCCATGGAAAACAATTATGAAATTTCTCAAAAAGGTAAACACCAGGCCAGGGATTTAGCTCAGTGATACCTTGCCTGCCTCACAAGCACAAGGTCCTGAGTTCGATCCCCAGTACCAAAAAAGAGGTAAACACCAAACTACCACATGTCCCTGTAGTTCCACTCCTAGAAATACAGGAGTACATATTCAAAGGCCTTGAAACAGGGACTAGAACAGATGTCATTTCATAGCAACATTATTCACTATAGCCAGAGAGTGGCCTACGTATCCATCATCGGAGGAGTGGTTAAATGAAATGTGGTACACATAGAACAGAATATTATACAGCCATAAAAGGAGTGAAATTTCAACACGTGCTATTACATGGCTGGACCTTAAAAACATTAGGCTACATGAAATTTAGATACAAAGGCACCAATTTTGTAGGATCCCACTTATACAAGGTATCTACAATAGGTAAATTCATAGAGACAGAAAGTAAAATAGAAGTTCCTAGGTTCTGGGGCAAGGGTAGAAGGGAGAGTTACTGCTTACTGGGCACAGAGCTTATGTCAGGAATCATGAAGAGTTTCTGAGGGATGAAGAAACAACACTGTGAATGTATTTAATGTCACCAAACTACACCTTCCAAGTAGTTACAATGATATTCTGTATATTTCACCACAATAAAAAATGTGGAAGAAAAGAGGTCAATACTACACATAGTAAAAAGAGAAATTTTTAAAAACTCAAAATATTAGCAGCTACTATATTGAGAAAAGAAATCTCTGGGTGGTCTCCTCTTTCTTTTAACTAGGTTTCTCTATTGTCCAAATTCTTTTAATTACTCTTTGGACAGAAAAAAATAAGTTTTATGTTTAAGCATTTTTCAGGTTTTGATATATGTGTGGTTCACCAGTCCACATTTGTCCTTTCCAGACAGAAAGTGTTTTCACATTTAGACCGGTATTTACTAAGCAAAGGACCAAAGGAAGGGAAACAATCCCTTAAAATGATTTTAAAAGCTTCAGCTCCATAGAGGTAAAAGCTGCCGCTCTCTTGCAAGACAATTGGCCTGCCTGGTACTGGCCCCTGTCACACCTAGCAGGGTGTCTGTCCTTTCCTTTCTCTGCACACTTGGGTGCTATAGGTGGAGAGGGTTCTGAGGCTCCTCCAATGGACAATTTCATCTGGCTGTGTAGGAAAGTCCATAATTTGACCTTGAACCAGTAAGTTAAAATAGGAATCGTAATTCAAACATGCAAGGAGAAATTTTCTTAAATTTAATTAATCAAAATGGCAACTACTAATTTACCCTCAGAAGTATGCTAAGCCCTTCCCAGAAGGGTTGTTCATACGGAAAATGATACTGACACAGTGTCAGGTTTTTATCCAGGAGTCCAAAAGACCTGTTCTCCCCTTTCTGACAAGTAAATAAAACGGCAGGGAGATCAAATAACTCACTAAAAAGAAGATATAATTTTTTATCTTCCTTTTTACAGTCTCATATCCACTTCCGTTGGGAATAACAAAGTCTGAATTCTTATGCAACACTTATCTAAATGTGTCGATTTTATCGGATTGATGAATTTTGCTAACAAAAGGCAGCGCTAGGAAATCTTTTATGACATATTTGGCCCATTCACAGGGCTGGAGCTTTAATTTAACCAACGTGAGAATTCTGAGGGAGAGCTGCAGGTGTTGGATCTGAAAAAAAAATCATAAATGAGAAGCTGTATCAATCTTTATGACAGGGAAACAAAAACACTCTCTACTTGCTTGCCCTCCGAGGGCTGCAGAAGGAGAGGTGGCAGTGGCAGGATATTGTCTCTGGCTGCATAGCAAAGAGGAAGCATCCCTGTCTCCGGGTGACCGCTATTTAGTATTGATCAAAAGGGATCTGCCCAGAGAGGAAGTGGGAAATTGATACAACAACAAGGTTTGCCAACTCTGTGTGCTCAACAAGGACATTCACTCGTTTTCTCAACCACATCAGGATCAGTCATCCACGGCTGCCTGAGCACCCAGGTGGCTCCTGATCCCATGCTCCCCACTGCCCCCACTGTCGTGCTCTGCCTGCTGGCTGCCCCAGCTGTCATTGGTGCCCATAGACAGATAAGGTCTGTGGAGTGGTCTCCTCGAGAGCCCAGGTTCCCTCCTCCCTCCTGCATGGCCTGGACTCGGAGCCATGCCTTCTGTCCCTGAGAAACTACCAATTGCGGCCTGCCGCCTTCTCCCCCCGCCCCACTGTCCCAGTGTCCCCAGGTCTTCCTGATGGGGATCTTCATCCAGGAGCTCCTGATGGGGATCTTCATCCAGTCAGACCTGCATGAAACTCTGCAACTACTTCTTATCTCTACAAGACAACACTGCACACTCCCAGCACCAGCTCCTACAGAAGCCCTGTGTCATTTGTCATTTCCTCATCTGGCCTTTGGCAGCAACACTGACCCATCCATCCACCCAGTACCACAAGCTCCTGGACAGAAATGACCATTTATCTACCAAAATTCCTTGTTCCCTGTTGACCATCAAGATGTGAAGAAGCAGTTGGTGGAAGGACAGGGTTCCCAGCTGCTCTGCACCGAGGCCTGGCCTAGAGACAAGGGCAGGGCCAAGAACCTGAGAGGGAGCTTGCCCTCTGTCCCAGGGCTTCACACAGGGCATAGCCCTCGGCTTCCCCTTCTGGGAGCTGAGGCACACAGTCGCCAGTGCCTTGCTCTGACCAGAGAAATGAGGTGTGCCCACAGTCTGGAGCAGGAGAGGGCACAACCAGCCCCCAATGTGTGCTGCTGCCATGAGCAAGCTCCCTGAGAGACAGGTTCTAGTTTCTTCACGTTCCTGGGTTTTTCTGGCCTCTTTTAACAGCCCCTTAGCCTATTCCCAGCTCACTAAAGCCCTGAGGGGCACAAGCACCAGGCAGGATTCCACTTATAAGGGCAGGAGGCTGACCCTGCCTGCCCAGTCCGTGCCAAGTTCTCCTGCTAGAAGAGCGTTCCTCCCACTGGCAAACCTACTTGGTGTTCTCGAGGGTCTTCTGCATTTTCTTGGTCATTTTGCCGATGGCTGTCTGTCTCTTCCCTTCGGCTAAGAGGTCTATTTTGTTCAGCACTACAATCATCTTCTGGCAGGCAATCTGGCCAATCACAAGGCACTCTGCTGACTGGGTCTGCATGCCCTTGGTCACGTCGATGACCAGCATCATTAGGTCAATGATCTGGGCCCCTGGGATGAGAGAAGATAAGGTCAGCAAGGGCAAGGGGGTGGTGAGCCCCACACCACAGCCAGACAAAGCACTGCAGGAAAGTGGGCAAAGAGGAATGGACAGTGACCATGTACCTCCTGGCTCCAGGCCCTCGGTGGGATACCTGGACCTTCGAGACCTCACTAGGCCTCAGAACCACCAAGGGAGCTAGGGAAACTGAGGCCCACAACACAGAGCTTGTCTGGGGCCACACAGATAACATGCAGCAGGGCTGAGTTTAGGGGAAAGTTCCTCTGAATTCATTCAGACCCACACATATCTATTTTACCAATCCTGTCACTTTCATTCCAAGCAGGAAAAAGCTCATGTTCTGAGCTAGGGTTAGACAGTGCTTAACCACTCGCCCTTGTTCAGAAAGAGGAGAAAAAGACTCAAGAGGTAAAGGGTAGGGTCTAAGGGAGTATGGGGTGCTTCTCACAGTATGGTGGGACACTGAACTCTGTGTGCATTGCGTGCCTAGCCACACCCTTCCCTGCAAGGCACACCTGAGCCTAAGCACAGCAGGTGGACGGATGATCACAGAGCAGCTGATGGGGGAACCTAGTGTCACCCTGCAGGGGGCCTATGTCCTTTTTAACGGCATTTGGAGTCATTTCAACAAGAAAACAAGGGGTATAACTTCATGAATGGGGAAAATACAAGTATTTGCCCTGCTGAAAGGAATCGTGATTTCATTTTAGTTTACAAAATGTCTCATGACAAGGTTTTCCAGACCCAATTATGGCCAGTAAGAGGCAGAGGAAGACTGCTCTGGGAGTGATTCTAATGACAATAATATGGTGGAGGGGACATCTCTGTCCCCCTGCTGGCACCGACAATGTGCACCAGCCCAGCTCACACATCCCCACTTGCTGTGTTTTAGAAGAAGAAAGGGAGACTCAGGGACAAGAGGACTTGCGCTCTAGGTCACGCAGGCAATAGACACCAAGGGTGCTACAAGTCAGGACTGCTGGCTCAGTCACTGCTCTCTTTCCTATGCTCCTCTGGCCCCAGGAGGGTCAGCACTGTTAGGGTTTCTATCTGGATATCCCCTAAAGCCTCCTACGCTCAGAGGCAGGGCTTTTAGAAGGTGATTGGACCATGCTATTAGGAGGGTTAGGGTTAGGGTTAGAAGAGGTAGTCACTGGGGGTGACCTGCCAGGGCACATCTCTCCTCCAGTCTCTGCTCTTCTCTCTCTCTGCTTCCTGACAGCTGGGGTGTGAGCGGCTTTCCTCTGCCTAGGCCTTCCACCCTGCTGTAGACCATGCAAGGACCAAAAGTTATAAAAACAGGAGTCAAATCAAGTGGATCCTCTCCTAAGTTGCAGGTGTCAGATATTTTGGCTGAGAAGTGGCTGAGATGGTGTGCATCTGACTCCAGGCAGGCCAGCATGCCCCAGCTCCCTTTCCACCCAGGCCCTTCTCCTTCCTCATCCCATCGGCCAGGACAGGAGGAAGGTGGGGTCCCTGAGGCCTGGGGGTCAGCCCCAGGTGCAAGCAGCAGCAGCAGCAGCATCTCACAGACAGGAGGGCCTAGGTCTCTCCCATAGCCATGTGGAGGAGACACTGGCTCCATCATCTACCAGGAACATGGCATATTTAAAACAGACCCAACTGCACACACCTAGAATCCCAGCACTCTGGAGGCTGAGGAAGGAGAGCTGCACGTTCAAGACCAGCCTGGGCAGTTTAGCAAGATCCTGTGTCAAAATTAAAAAAGGGCTGGGATGTAGCTCTGTGAAAAGACACTGGGTTCAATCCTCAGCTTTGCAAAAATAAAAAAAATTTTTTAAAAAGCCCCCAAACTGATTCATACTGTTGGGGCATGGTGAATTGGTTCGATCTGCAGGGAAAAGCACTGTCAAAATGCACATAACATGTGATCCAGCCAAGCTTGTACACACGTCAAATATCCCTGTGGCCTTTATTATCCCTAAAGTTGGAAACCACATAGATGCCCATCAGTAAGAGACAGGTTAAAAACAAACAATGCAAACGAAGAAACCCTTTCTGTACCACTCCAGAATGCTCTCCACACGGAGCAAGAGGGGAAAACAAGGGGCAGAACAGTGTACAGCATCACCTGTGTCAGCAGGGGCCAGGTGCGCATGCTGTCTGCTAACGTGTGTTACAGATGAGTAGGTGTTTGCTTCTACGCGGATTTGGCACACCATGGGAATGCAAGAGAAACTAGGAGGCAGAGAGGAAATTCACAGCACATTCTTCTGTCCTCATCTCAAACAAGGGTGTGCAGAATCCATCCAGAAATTCACATTTTAAGTGCATAAATAATAAAATAAATACATTGGCCATAGTGCTTTCCTGTTAAGAGTTCTCACTACCCTCGGAATACAAACTAACTTCCCAGTGCAGCTTCAGACTCCCCCTTTTCTAAATTAACAGTTGTTCTCACACTCGCCCTGTGCCACACACTGGTCTTTTGCCCCTCACAAATGCCTTTCTAGGCTCCTTGTCTTGCCCATGGGCCCATGAAGCCCACACTTGCCTCCTACAAGGTTAATGTGAGCTCATTCTGTTGGCAAGAGGCTACTGGACCCCCGATCCTCCCACCCACAGCAAACCCAGGGCCATCCCAGGCTGTGAAGCTGGCTCTGAGCAGGAGGAGCTAAAGGTAAAGGAGTGGCATCCCCACATGGCGTCCCAGCCCAGGGACTGGCTCTGTGAGGCCCAGGGTCCCAGCACCCAGGCCAATCCTGCTCTATCTCATGGCTCCTCGAAGGGCTCTCAGGAGGGATTCCAACCTCTAGGTCTCCTCCAGGACTGAACACCACCCACACTTTACAAATGAAGAGACAGGCTTTGGAGAAGTTGCCAGAGCCCAGGATCTCAACCACAGTGCCATGCAGCCTGTCCTCCCCAGTGCGGACCCAAGCCTCATGCCATCCTCCTCTTCCACACACTCCACCCTGTCCTCCATCCTCTACTTGAGAACTGGGCACAAACCACATTTGCTCTCGCTGCCTCGCTGCCCAGGAGACCTGTCCGAGCTTCAGTGGCCTGGGCCTTGACTGCCTTGCCCTGCCCTCCCACCCCACATCAAGCGGTTGCAGCCAAGGCCTGGGGCTTCGGTCTGCATTCCAAGCACAGAACCAGGTTGGGCACAGCTCAATAAACCTTCGTTGGGCTGCACTGATCAACATTAGCTCCATGACTCCTCCACTCTATTCACCAGGAGTCTGTTCCTTTTCTCCAAGATTCAATTTCCTATGGACATATACAACTGTCCCAGAGTGCCGAGTCCTGCCCCATCCATGTCTTGGGCCCTTCCACTCGTTGAGATCCTGTGCATGGGAAATGATGTTGACTGATGGCTCAGAAATCCAAGTGCAGACGGGGCCCAAATTTCGCGGGAGTCAGTCAGGGTTCCATGTGCAGCCTTATCCAGCATCCACAAGTCGCCTTTGTTCCAGCAAGCACACAGCTCTGCTTCCTGTCACTCCCTCTCTGCAGTGCAACTGGCATCAAGGACTTCTAAGGAGCCCAGAGGTCAGGGCAGCCTGACTGGCCACACTGAGAAGCGGGCACTGCCGGACACTGGGGTCAGCAGCAAGCAACTGCCCGCTGCCTGGCAGTCACTTTGTGACTCCCGTCTCTTCAGCAAACTTTGATCAAGCAACAGTAAGTGACACAATTGGCCCTCCTGTCTTGTCTTCTTTAAACTCCCTAGTATTTCCAGAGAATGAATCAAACAATGTCCTTCTCCATTCCCACGAACCTAGGGTAGGAAATCACCCCTGATACTACTGGGACAGAGAGACCGAGTGGGTGGGAACACAAGACAGAAACTCAAGGCTGACAAATGACCTTCTATATTTCCAATCTATCAGGGCTTTTCATCTAGCTGCACTGACTGCACACAACTTGAAAGGTCTGCAGAGTAATTATAACAGGGTTAAAGTTTCTCAGTACTTTTTTTTTTTTTTGGTACCGGGGATCGAACTCGGGTCCTTGCGCTTGTGCAGCAGGTGGTGAAACCACTGAGCTAAATCCCCAGCCCTGTCAGTACCTTTTTAAAAATTACAATTTCCAATTCTCTAGACTGTACATTGTAATCATTTCAAAAATAAAAATAATGATAAACTGACAAAGCTCGGCGTTTAACAAGGTCTAAGTTATCTGTGAAAGGGAATTTTCCTTCTGCAACTAGAGGGGAGGGAATGTACCCAGAAAAAAATTTTTGGCCGAAAAACATGAATATAAAATTTTAAACATATTTTAGTAACCTGAAATCAGTTTTTTTAAAGTCAGAAGTTATAAGCATCCTGGAAAGGAGAAATATTATATTTAAAATATAGAAAAAATTTGTTTTCACTCAATAACCAATGTAAATATACTGCTATGAACAATATAAACTGCAGTGGCAGCTGATGTCCTATGGCCATGGTGAACTCTGCCAGCTACAGCAAAGCACTCTGTACCCCGCTCCCTCGTCTACACAGTGAACACCGAGACAGTGTCTGGGTCACTGGGGTGCAGTGATAACTAAACGAGATAGCACATGGGAAGCACTGGAGAGAGGCAAGGAAACAGTCAAGGTCAGGGCACAGAGAGTCAGAGCTCAGTCCACAACTGCTCTCCAGCCCAGCATGCCACATCCCTGAGCAGCAGCATCTGGATCCAGAACAGAACAGTTGCTCTGTCCCTGGAGCTGTGCCGAGGTGGGGTGGAGCTCCAGGGACAGACAGAGATGCCACAGGTCCCCACCTGGGTGCCCAGGGTGAGAGGAGGTGCCAGCAGCTCTATCAGCCCCAGGTGCCATCATTGTTGCTGCTACTTTGATTCATTATTCTTTTGTGGGTTAGAAGACTAAAAGCTCAGGCAGGTTAAATAACTTGCCCAAAGCCAGCCGGCTTGGGGTAGAAACCAGAGTTGGTCAGGTGCCAACACGGGATACAGCTGTCCTTGCCTGACTCTGCTAGTATAGGGGGCAAGGGAGAAGACATCTGTTGTGATGTAGCCA